TTTATGTAAGCAAACACGAGTTGAACTATTTGGACCTGCTGACCTTATTTACTCTTGAAAGTACAATTTAAGCTTAATCTGGTCCTTAGAAACACTTAGTATACTTTTTCCTTCTGAGTAAGAATTATGTAACTTTTTACAACTTCTTTTTTAGTTCAAAATGTCGTTCATGACTTTGTTCTTTCTCTCATTTTCTTATTTTCATTCATTAATATTATAATTATTATAAAGCGTTGATAAAAATAAATTTACACTTTAATGTAGTGCAGTGGAACTTACGCTGAACCACAATTTGATTAAAGTCATCATAAATTTGAAATTAATATAATTATATTACTAAAAATTTTAAACTTTCAGCTTTATAGAAACTCCTTCAAAAGCTGACAAATATGAAACAAAAATAAATAAATAATAGTTAATTAATTAATTAACAATAAAATAAATCAATAAAATAGTACCAATATATATACTATAAATTTTTTTCTGTGGAGTTCTAAATAATTAAAATATTAAACAGATTTGCTAGAAACTTCTAATTCTTGACTTTCTGGATCGCTGAATTCATATCTGAAGTCAAAATTCAAAATGGCGGATCTAAAATGTCGATTAAAGTTTACAATTTAAACCTGGGCTGTAAAGCCAAGATCAATGTTCCGCCCATAAACTGTGACGTAATTTCCCTGGCCGTCAAAGGCAAGAGTAGAAAATAATACAAGATACAACCAGTAAAAGACAAAATAAAAAATATATGTATCATCAAGTGAAAAAAAGGACTGTGAAAAGGTGCATTTTATCTGACATTTTTTCCAAAGTTTGCTTGCAATATGAAAGCTATTATTTCAAAAGTTTAAAATATTAATTTTACAATCAGCGACTTTAAAACTAGTAAATAACAGGTTTCAAGCAAGTTCTAAAGGTTTTTCTCTTCTTTCGTCCATCATATTGCATCCGCCATTTTGAATTTTGAAATTTCGACTTAAGATTCGAATTTAGTGACTCCAAATACCCCAAAGTATTAACTTTGATATCAATCTGATAAATTTAACTTTTTTGTCTGACATATTAGATCCGCCATTTTGAATTTTCAACTTCAAATTCAAATTGATCTTGAATGGGAAAATCGCATCGACTTTGATATCCCTTAAGGAGTTATGACACTTTAGAAGGCCGAAAAAATTGTTTTTTTAATTCTAAAAATTAAAAATGGCGGATCTAATATGGCGAGCAATTTTTTTAAAATTGATCCGATTTGTATGAAATTTGTTATTTAGAGGTTTTTAGGATCGCTGATTACGAATCAACAGTCAAATTTTAAAAATTCAAAATGTCGGTTTCAATATATGGCTGACATTAATTTTAATAAATTTGTCTATATTAATGAAAATCAGGTAAACAGCGACCCCAAAATCCCCTAAATTCTAATTTTTATTAATATAAACAAATTTATTAAAATTATGTCCGCCATATTGGATCCGACATTTTGAATTTTTTAAATTGGACTTGTATATGGTTATTTTTTCCTCACGATATCTTCTTATATTTTCGAAATAATTTCTTCGACATAATACATTATCATTTCTTTCCATCAACATGCTATTTCTCTGACGATTAGAAAACTTAAAATTCATTTCTTTTAACAAACGATACAAAAAGAATAAGTACTACGGCTTATATGCTCAATATCAGGATCCTCTTCAATAGTCACAGTTAGTTTATTTATAGTTGGCATTTCCTTATTAAGGTAAAAAGAATGCACTTTTCTTCTCACTAAGTTCTTGTCAAATTCATCAAATTTTTGTTCCAATTTTAGTCGAGACTTTTTCCTTTTTGGAGAAGTTACATTGCCAGTCCTTTTATATTCTAAAACAGTGTTTTGAATTGTTCTTTTTCCAATCCCAGTTTCTTCACTAATGTGCCACACATTACATGTTATTTTGTGATCTCTGGATATTTTCCCCCCAAACTTTTAAATCGTGTATCAAATGAATTTACTTCATAATATAAACAGAGAAACAAGCAGTAACTTTTACAAAATATTTTGGAATAGACTGGAATAGATAATATTTTTAATTTATTCTGCAACATTAACTAAGATGCAAGTTTTAGAATGAAATGAAATTTATTTCGTTGACAATCTATCCTATTTCGTTAAGTTGCAAAAGTAGAATAATCAGATATTAAATGGAATTAAAACTTTTTCCTGGTGTTCGCGTATATGAAATAACTTTAATTCTATTCCATTTCATGCTTCTTGTTGGGATGCAAATGCAGTAGGCAGTGCAATAGAAGAGACTTAGAGTACGTCGTAGACTTCTGCGCACACTAACACTTTAACTACTTTAGAACATAGTAATATGGCAGTAAAAAGCGTTAGTATGTGCAGAGAGCTACTGCGTCGGAAGGCATCTTTGTTACCTATCGTCTACATAAGATTTCGTTAGAATCAACACAGTGGGGACAAATAAAAAAATCCGGACATTAGACCAAAAGGTAAAGTAATCCTCATGGAAATTGTTAGTCAGAGGTTTTCGAGGTTTCTGATTACGAATGTGATATTTGTTTTTCGACATTCAAAATGTAAATTTTCCACTTTAAACTCCCACTTTCACTTCCCACTCTCACTTTTTACTTACCACTTATACTTCCTACTCTCACTTCCCACTCCTACTTTCCACTTTCGCTTCCCACTCTCACTTCCCACTCCTACTTTCCACTTTCACTTCTCACTCTCACTTTCTACTTTATCTTCCTACTCCAAATTTTCTCATTCCACTTTCCACTCCCACTTTCCATTCCCCACTTTTGCTTCCCACTCCCAATTTCCACAACCCACTTTTACTTTCCACTCTCAATTTCCACATCTAACTTTCCATTCCGTACCTTTACTTCCCACTCCCAATTTCCACATCCCACTTTCCACTCTCACTTTCCATTCCTCACTTGTACTTCCTACTCTCACTTCCCACTCCTACTTTCCACTTTCACTTCCCACTCTCACTTTCTACTTTCACTTCCTACTAAAAATTTCCACTTTCCACTCTCACTTTCCATTCCCCACTTTTTACTCACACTTTTACTTCCCACTCTCACTTTCCATTTCCCACTCATACTTCCTACTTTCACTTCCCACTCTCATTTCCTACTCCTCACTTTCTACTCTCACATTTTACTTACCACTTTTACTTCCAACTCTCACTTCCCACTCCTACTTTCCACCTTCACTTTCTACTTTCACTTTCCACTCTCACATTTTACATACCACTTATACTTCCTACTCTCACATTTTACTTACCACTTATACATCCTACTCTCACTTTCCACTCTCACTTTCTACTTTCTCTTACCACTCCTAATGTCACTTCCCACTTTGTACCTTCCACTCCCACTTTCGCTTCTCACCTTCTACTCCTAATGTCCCACTTACCACTTTTGCTTCTCGCTCCCCACATTGTAATCCTACTCCCACTTCATTAAGATCTTTTTTGTACTAGGGGTTTAGAAAAACATCCCCATCAAATTTTACAAGATAGGAAAATTATTGTAGTAGTATATTAAATTAATGTTACTAAATAGAAAAAAGAAAATAAAAAATGGAAGGTGGGAATGAAGGTAGGAAGTAGAAAGTTGGAAGTGAAAGTGGAAAGTAGGAAGTTAAAGTGAATAGTGGGAAGTAGAAGTACTAATTGGAATGTGTGAATTTAAAGTGGGAATGGAAAGTAGGAAGTGGAAAGTAGGAGTGTTAAGTGAGAATGGAAATGCAAAATAGGAAGTGAAAGTAGAAAGTAAAAGTAAAAATTAAAAAGTGGAGAGTGGAGAAGGTACAGAATTTTGTAACTTTCCTACTTTCCACTTACCACTCTTACTATTTACTTACCACTCTCACTTTCCACTGTCGCTTCTCACTTTCACCTCCTAATGGTGTGAAAGTGAAAAGTGGGAATGGGAAGTGGAAGTAAGAAAGTGAATGGTGTGAAGTGTGAGGGAAAAGTAAGAGTGGGAAGTAAGAAGGGGGAGTAGAAAGTGGAAGGTGGGATGTGAATGTGGAAAGTGATAGTGGTAGGTGGGAAGTGAATGTGGGCAGAGGAAAATCAAAGTGCAAAGTACAAAGTGAGGTTGTAAAGTGGGAGTAGGAAGTGTATGTGGAAGGTGGGAAGTGTGAGTAGAAAGTGGGAGTGGGAAATTAATGGTGGGAAAGTGAAAAGTGTGAATGGGAAGTGGAACGAGGGAATTGAGAGTGGAAACTGAAAAGTGTAAAGTAGGAGTGGAAAGTGAGAGTAGGAAGTGGAAAGTAGGAGTAGAAAGTGGAAGGTGGGATGTGAATGTGGGAAGTAGAAAGTGGGTAGTGAGAGTAGAAGGTAGGAAGTGAATGTGGGTAGAGGAAAGTGAAAGTGAAAAGTGTGGGTGTAAAGTGGTAGGTGGAAAATGGGAGTGGGAAGTGAAGGTGGGAAGTATAAGGGAGAGTGGAAAGTGGAAGGTGGGGAAGGGGTAGTGGAATGTGGGAGTGGGAAGTGAGATTGGGATGTGATGTGGGAAGTGAGAGTGAAAAGTGGAAGGTGGGAATGGGAAGTGGAAAAGTTACAGAATCGACCCCTTGCTGTAGTAGATTTGAGGATCCATTATTAATGAGTTTACCTTCACTAGGGTCTAATGTATCCAACTATAAATCGAAAAATTCCCATTAAAAACTTTTACTTTTTGATCTAAAGTCCGGGTTTTTCGATGTGACCCCACTGTGGAATCTGACATTAATTTTTTCTTTTAAATTTAATTAATCCCATAGTGGCTCCACATTCAAATTTCTTATCCAAGCGATGCAATACATCGACTTTTACTTCTTTCATGTCGTCTTACTGCATAAATTACTATATAAATAATTCACAAAAGACGAAGATTCTTTAGAGACATGCTTACTTTATAGAATTTTTAAACTTTTACAATTTTAATGAATTAAAAGTTGTACATTATAGTACAGTGTTTCATTGTTTTCAATTTTGTTTCAGTGTCACATGAGGGGATCGAGTAATTGAATAAGGATTTCTTTCGCTCGAAGTACTTTAGCAGTCTCACAACTTTATATATCACTCTCTCTCTCTGCTCGCCAATTTGGACGCAATCCTTCTGCATTGGTGAAATTTTAGAAAAATAAATTAAAAATAATTGACTGCAATGAACTAGAAAATTAAGAAGTCTGGGAGAATGTGAGGCAATTTCATCAGGCGATGCCTACTTTGGGAACCTGTGCTGACGAAGAGGACTCAGAGGATGTGGAAAGCAAGGCATCAGGGATCTCGTCGCCATCGCCGTCGGGATGCAAATAGGTGCAAGTGGAAAGATTGCGGCTAGATGGAATTTTTTCTGATACAGGCACCGCAAATGGAGAATGCTGTACATAAATTTAGAGAAGATGAGACCCCAACGACCAGGATAGACATCCTGACAGTCGTTTACGTCATTGTCGGTGCCTTCTTTAATACTTATTTTAAAGAAAATTCCCCAAATACAATCCTCAATAAAAGTTCTCATCTTCAACGTTCAGATTCCTCTTTTCAAATTATGTTATTTAATTGTTCAACATACAGATGACAAACAAACTGTTAGGCTTTTGAATTTTTTACATTAATTAAAACTAGCGGAAATTTTAAATATTCACTATAAAACTAAAGAGGGCAACATTTGAGAAAGAAGAGAAGTGATGAAGAAAGTTAAAAGAAAGAATTTTTAGGAATGGAAAGGTTTTATGGAAAATTAATCAACAATGAATATTGTTGAGGAGGAAGGAAACAGTGTAGTATAATACTAGATAGTGTAAAAGTTTTTTGAGTTTTGTGTAAAAACGAAAAATGTTTTGAGTCAAGTGTTAAATAGTTGATATACACTCCAATACGTGAAGTGTGTCGCATACGTTACTAAAGTACATGTACGAAAATTGAGTTTTAAAATTAGTGAACATGAGACGAAAAAAAAATTTTTTTTCGACTGTGATCCCTTTTGAACCTCCTGACTGATTCTGGAATACAAGATTATTCAAGCAAGAAAACAGGATGCCAGGTGGGCGAAGGGGCTTAGTAGCCCCGCAAAATACGTTCCTGGAAAACATTATACGAAGAAGCAGCAGTCAAGGTAAGAATTAAATACATTTTTTTATTTATTCAAGAAGAAAATAACTTAAATTTGAGGTCTAGTTATCATCTCTTATTTTACTTCAACAACAAAAATTGTTGGGAATTTTGTTTGCATGTATTAAAAACACTAACCTACCGTGTTCAGAGTATTTCGACGAATTTCTTGATAAAACATAAAACCATGTTCTTATGGGAAGAGAAACCACAACTTCAGATGGGTTTACCAAGGATTTATGGGGGTAATACTTTATGCACGAGGGGCAAACATTTTTCTTTGTGACCAATTTTTTTCTTATAACGAGAGTCTCTACTATTTCACAAGCATAAATATCAAGGGTTTTTGGTAAACCCCGACTGTTGACTAAGTAATAATGTTATCAGTTTTAAATTGCTGCAGATCTGACATTTATGTTCCTCGTAATCATTTTTCTTTAAAAACACTTCCTTATATTCATACTTTTCCCGCACGACACTTGAGTGAATTATTAGCACTGCTTTTTTTAATAAGACTAAATCGCTGGTTAGGTTGCCTGTTCTCAGAGATAATTTTAGCTACCAAAATTGATGATTACTTGGGATGCATGAATATACCCTAACTGACAAACAACCAAAAAGTCACCTAACAGAAAATGTTCTATATGACACAATTGACTTGCAACATAATTGACACTATGTTAAATGTAAATTCTGATAAATTTCAATTCTGTTACATGTCAATTCTGTTAATTGCTAAATCTGCTGCATATCAACTCTGTTGCATGACAATTCTGTTAAATATCAATTTGTTTTGCATATTTTTCTGTTGAGTGACTTTTTTTTGTCTAATTGATTACCTGGATTCGCCACCACTGATATTTCTAAAAATAGCTGTGAAAATAACTGTTAGAAATTATTTACCATTCTAAGGATAAAGTCCTGTGAATGGTGGTTTCAATGTTTTATTGTTTAATTCATTCAACTTTCTAATTCGAAATGTGCTGTTTAATTCAAGACGAACAATTACAAATGCACAACGAAACGTTGATTGTCGCTTTGTCGCATAACCGGTAGCTATTGGATTTCTCTTTACAAAACGATGTCACCTACTTTATACCTAATTGCTTTTATTATATTTTGATTGAATCTCTTCTTATGCGATTCTTGTTCTTACAAAATGTTTTGTTAAATCTTTACCTGAATATAACTTATTCCGTATTCCACATTCCACTTTCCAAATTCCACATGACGTATTCCACATTCCACTTTCCAAAATTTACATCTACTATTCCACATTCCAAATGGCATCTAGACATTAAAGAAAAAATTACTAACAATAGAAAATTTGAAGTCCGAAAAATGTGTTAAAAATTTGCATTTACGGAAATACTTATTTAGAAAACAACTATATATGATATTAGGAGAAGCATCAGTAGAAAATCTGGAATAAGAACATAAAATTTTCATTTTTTTACTGAAATTAAAAACTCCTGAAAAATATTGTGCGTTCTACTATTTCATTTTAAGTTGTCGTAAACGGAACGTTAGGTGAGCAATTGTAACTTGCACTTGACCTAGTTCTTAATTAAAGAACTTGAAAAAGTACAGCATAATTTTATAGCTATTTATAGCATACATTTTTTATACCCGCAAGTATTGAACTATTTCTTATTTTGACATTAGATAATATGGTTTTAATATCATTCTATTTCTATGATAAAAAAGTAAGTGTTTAATTCTAGCGAATGTTAATTCTTTAGTATCATAAATGATTCATTTGAATATATGCATATATTCCCCTCTCGACATTTGTCCAGATGAAATTCTCTAATTTCTCTCTAGGAAATTTTGTTGGACATTGACAATGAAATTTTAAATAAATTATCCTGTAATTAAATAATTCGATTTTAATTACATTAATTTTGAATAACCCTTTCGTGTCCCCGAGAAACCCAACGATTGGATTTTGTTGAAACTTCTTACTCAGGGGTTTTCGAGGTCGCTAATTAAGAATCTGAAGTCAGATTTTCAAATTTTTGAAAATTCAAAATGGCGGATCCAATATGGCGGACATTTTCTGAAAATTGCTTAAATTTACATAAAACTATTATTACTCGGGGTTTTCGGGGTCGCTGATTAAGAATCTAAAGTCAGATTTTGAAAATTAAAAATGATGACCTTGAAAACCCCGAATAACAAAGTTTCAAACGAATTTGAGCAGATTTGAAAAAATGTCCACCATTTTGAATTTTGAAAACTTAAAATCTGACTTTAGATTCGTAATCAGTGACCTCGAGTGACTTACCCCTGAGTAAGAAGTTTCAAAAGAAATGGGGGAAATTTTTAAAAATCAGATTTCGCTATTTTCTTATAAATATTTTACCTATTGTTTCTAATAATTATAATCGTACTACGTAATTTTTTATGTTTTTTACAAATAGTAGTAACGTTCTTTGTTTAAAACAAACTAAATTAATTTTTAATTGGTTCAAATTTAGAAGAATTATGTCAAATTTTCTAAGTGGGACATATATGTCCCGGAGGTACGAAAGGGTTAAAAATTCAGCCATATAAAATCCGCTGTTTTGAATTTTCTAAATCTGACTCCAAATTCATGATCAGCGACCCCAATAACATAGGGAAACGAAATGTCGTTAAAATATATTCACTAAATGTTAATGAATTAATTAGTTTGTTACATAACTTTTTTTGAAAAAAACAGTCAATGTTCTTTATATTGTTTAAAATAAATATTACTACTTTTTGAAAATTTCTTATTTTTTTAATTGTAGCAGCGACCATTCGGAAAAGGAGGAAATTTATCGCAAATTAATACGTTGACTTTTATGAGAATTACATAAAATTTTCAAAGTGGGACATATATGTCCCGGATTCGTTTTTTTGCTCAATTTGATATCCTTAGAAAAAATGTTAGTTAAAAATAATTTAAGGTAATTTTTAGTTTTTTTTTTCAAAATTAATTAACAAAAGGAAGAGTTTAATGCTACCAGAGAATATCTTGCTCAGTGCATTCCGATTGGAAAATGCATCAATAGATTTTTATGACATTCTGTGTGCATTGTAAAGGACACTTTGTATTGAAAGAGTACTTGAAAGTTGGTGGTAAAAAGTAAAAAGCAAGTATTTGCTGGAAGGTATGAATAAGGGTTAAAATATATATATATATAAGTATTGGATGTTTACGGAAGCTGCAGCCAGATAGATGTTGATGCGATGTATAAGCGATACAACTGGGAAGTCTCTCCAGTAGAGAGCCGCGTATGCTTTGAAAGGGAAAAAAGGGGAAGTTATATTTTCGATCAGACGAGTGTCTAGTGGTGAGACCGGAACGCGATAGGGTTGAGGTCGTCCCACTCGGTTGTTACCGGGACGATTCGGCAGCTTCCGTTAGGTCATTAGGTCAAATCCACCGTGCATGGGGGTCAAGCCCATGTTACATGGGGTATGAATATATCCGTTTTACTGGTTCACAATGCAAACTTTGCACAAGCCACCCACACCCTGCAGTCGCATTCGTCGCCAGAGGAACGCTTCTATTTTTAGAATATACCTCTGGCGTGCAGTTCACTCGTCGCCGTGTCGTCTTCATTCAATTTTGAATTTGGCGGCGGCGACAACGACGACATCGACAAGGCACAATAGCAGGCTGCTGGCCAATAACTAAACTCAATTTCTTTAGCTCATCGAACCGATGTTTGGAGAATTTGAGAAATCGAGTTTACTCTCAATAATATACATTAGTCTACTGTTTACCATTCAAATATTTGACATTTCTATATTATAAAATATTAAATTAAAACTCAATAAATTTTAAACTGTTTTTTAATTCATTTAGTTTTAACCCCTTCGCTGTTTGAAAAAATATTCATAAATGATTGGTCCAAAATTTCAAAAAATTTTTGCGGACGCCGAATTCAAATATGACGTCGAAAAAAAATTCAAAATGGCGGATCCAATATGGCGGACATTTATCAATTTTAAACAGATATTTATAAAAATTAGTATACAAGGATCTTTGGGGTCGCTGAATTCAAATATGACCTCAAAAAAAAATTCAAAATAGCAGATCCAATATGGCGGCCAAAATTTTTCAATTTCAAACATGTATTCATAAAAAATCGTATATAAATGTTTTAGGGGTAGCTGATTCTATTTCTGACGTAAAAAAATTACGTTCGCCATTTTGAATTTCTAAAAATGAATGTCAAATTTGAATTCAGCGACCCAACATACCTCTTGGTACTAAAACTGATAAAAATACGAATAAATTTTTTAAATTACGTGTCCGCCATTTTGAATTTTTAAAAATGAATATAAAATTTGAATTCGTGACCCAAAACACCTCTGGATATTGAAATTGATAAAAATACAAATAAATATAATGAAACATAAATAATAAAACACCATTCCTGGGGTTTTCGGGGTCGCTGACTATTTGACTGTTGACAGCTGTCAAACCAAATGTCAACTTTTGTAAAAGTGATTTATTTTTGATAAAAATGACTCTAATAACATAATTTGACAGTTGACAGCTGTCAATTGTCAAATTGTGTTTATCACACTAAATCCATAATCTGGGGTGCGTTCACGTAATTTTCACTTTAACTAAAAAATTTCTCACTTTCACTTTCACTCAAAATTTTCACTTTTAACTTCACCCACAAATTCTCACTGTCATTCAAAAAAATTTCACTTTTACTTTAAAATTCAAAATTTTTCAAGTAAAAGTGAAAATAATTTGGGTCAAAGTGAACATTACTTGAGAATTTTTTTAATGAAGATAAAAATTTTTTGATCAAAATTGAAAATATTTTAGGGAAAATAAATTTTGTTGAGTGAAAGTGAGAACTTTTTTAATGAATGTAAAAATTATTTTAAGTGAATGTGAAAGTGGAATGTTTTTGAATGAAAGTAAAAATATAAGAATTTTTCAAAAAAAGTGACTATTTTTGAGTGAAACTAAACTTTTTTGAGTAAAATTTAACATTTTTCTAGTGAAGG